AGCCAAAGAGTTTTGGGGGGAGTAAAAATAGCCATCTGATGACCTCCAGACAATTTGACACGAGCAGGTAATCTAATCTCTGTGGTACCGTTGTGATTGCTTTGTTTTATTTCTGTTTCTGCGTTTCAGCTATGTGTTCCAATGAGTCTGTTCTTCGTGGACAAAAAAGACCAACTCCGACCCATCGCCATCCAGCTGTACCAGGAACCTGGAGAGGACAATCCTGTAAGAAAAAAGGACCATTGATCAAATACATAATGATAATAATAATTGACAAATATATAAGTGAATAAATGAATAAATATGGTAATGCTAATGCTGATGATAATCAGCAGATAAATAGATAAATAAATAGATAAATAGATTAATAAATGAATAGATAAATAGGTAAATAAACAAACAAATCAATAGATTAATAGATGAATATATAAATTTTTTTAAACAGTCAATCAATCTATTCTTCAATCTATCTATCAATCAATCAATCCATATATCCATCAATCAATCAATCCATCAATCAGTAATACAATTGATCCCTCTGTTGAAATTTGGGTTATATTGGCAAACATACATGTATTTATACATAATTTATCACACAAATATGCTTAAAAAATGATTACCAAACACACAAAATTACACTTATGCAGAACAATTTCACAAACACACCACTGGCAGGTCGAATCTGTGAGTTTGGGCCGGGTAATGGCTCTTGCTAGTGTACACTATATCAAACTGATTTCTACTTTGCTTAAATCAGATCTGACCTATTAGTGGACCTATCGCGTATATGTGTATGTACATTCTTTTTAAAAGGAGTGGGAAATTTTAAAAATATTTTATCATATGTTTTATTATCTGTCCATCTTTCTAATGACTATGAAAGGTTAATGCTGGGATAATCTCTATGTAGTGCTTACATGTCCAAATAGTGTTGACGGTGTAGCAAAACATATTCTCTGAGAGAATTTTGATATGATATAATTTGTTCAGTTTTGATGAAATATAATAAACTATAGCAGTTTTCATTCTGTGGTACTGTGCTATCCCATTGCTCTTTCTTTTTCTCCGTGGGTGGTTGGTGGGTGCTCTGGTGTGGTTTGCTCCTTCTTTCCTATCAAACATCTGTCGTCTTTATCTCCCCTCCTCCTTTTTTGTGTTTGTTACTCACTTGTAACACCTCTAATCTTCGGCACTTATATGACCTTATTGTGTTGCAAGTGCCGTAAAACTCTTACTAAAACTTTCTTTTTCTCCATGTGTCCTAACATAATAAGCAATCGTTAATGCGATTCTATTGTAATTGCTTTATCTCATCGACTCATTGCTTTTTTTTCTTCTCCTCGTGCGTAGATTTTCACTCCCACAGATCCGTCGTTGACGTGGGCTCTGGTCAAGATGTGGTACAACAACGCTGATGCTTCGTACCATCAAGCTGTCACACATTTGGGTACGGTTTTGACTGATTTTGAGAAATTGTGAGATGGGTTGGAGTTTTTGCTTTTGGCAAGGGGAGTGGGGATGAGGTTGCAGAATTTGGGGGGGGGAGGGTGAGGAGGCAAGGGAAAGGGGGGAGGGGCGGGAGGCGAGAGCATGTGAAAAAGGGAGGGGATGGGCAAGCAAAGGTTGGTGGGAGAAAGGAGGGGACGGTGAACATGCAAAGGATAGAAGGGGGGAGGAGGTGGGCATGCAAAGGTTGGTGGGAGAAAAGGGAGGGGGGGATGGGCATGGTAGAGGGTGGGGGGAGTTTTGTAAATGACTGGGCAAAAAATGCAACTTTACCAATGTAACAATCTTGTGGTGGGCCTCTGAAAGAATTAAATTTTGTAAGAAATGAAATTCAGAACAAAAAGCTGTGTTTGTCAGGCACATTTTGGTGTCTCTATTTGAGGGTTCATGTTCATTTTAGTGTCACAATGTTTATGTAAGTGATAAAATAAAATTTGCAACTTCAGAAATAAGTTTGCAGCAGTCTTGAGGTTGATGGGTCTCTTGAAAAACTTACTTTTGTCACCATTATATTGTTCTCCAATACTTTCTCCAGGCATGACCCATTTATTGATGGAGGGCGTCACAGTCGCCACACATCGCAACCTCTCGCAGTCACATCCTATCTTCAAAGTGTTGGCCCCTCATTTCCTTTACCTCATTGCCATCAACTCGTAAGTCCAACTTATGTGCATGTTGTTTTGTCTTTATTTTATCTTTTTTTTTTCGGGGTGGGGGAGGCTTTAATGATTGGTTCAAAAGTGTCTTTTCTTGGGTATCTGTAGTTTTTTAAAATTATTGTCTTTGTCATGTATATTACCGCTTGTGGACGACCATCCACGAACTCGTAAGTGGGTGGTTAGCGGGTGCTCTGGTGTGGTTTGCTTCTTCTTTCCTATCAAACATCTATCGTCTTTATCTCCCCTCCTTTTTTTTGTGTTTGTTACTTTCTTGTGACACCTGTAATCTTTGGCACTTATATGACCTTATTGTGTTGCAAGTGCCGTAAAACACTTATTAAAAGTAAAACTAAACGGACTCGTAATTGTGACTTCAGAGGGGTTTGAGAGTTCGAGGCTCAGCTCGGTCCAACATTGTGGCCTTGAGAAAGACACTTTTTATGAATTTTCCCATTCGGCTCCGTCCCGCTGGTGATGGATGTTACATTTGAAGGTCATGTCTCTTAACTAACCTTACTGTGTTAGAAGAGAAGTTAAATATACACAGTTTCATTTCTCATATCGGTCCACCTCTTAGTGAATTGAATATTCCTCCTCACGTTTTGTGTTTATTTAACCCCTATAATCCAATGTTGCTACAGATGGTTACCATTAATTTATTTGTTAAGGGTGCAGTTTTTGTTTTTTAATGTGTGGATCATAGGTGGTTGGAATGCGTGGATCATAGGTGGTTGGAATGTGTGGATCATATAGATGGTTGGAATGTGTGGATCATAGGTGGTTGGAATGTGCTCTAGTGTGGTTTGCTATTCTTTCCTGTCAAACATCTATCATCCTTGTCTCTCTTTTTTTTTTTTTATGTTGTTATGTAGTAACACCTCTAATCTTTTGCACATTATGACCAATTTGTGTTGCTAGTGCCATAAAACTCTTAACTGTCATGAAAACTAACTAATCTATGAGTCAAAAGCTTTCATGTGCTTTCTCATTTTCTTCTTTTTCCAGTCGTGGCCTGGAAGTGTTGGTCTCTGACGGTGGCTGGGTAGACAAAACCATGAACTACGGCAACGCTGGCCTCTTTGAGCTCATCCGCAGAGCGTAAGATAAGATTGTGAAACTTGTTTAAGGAGGAGGAGGAGGGTTTGAGACTTGGGGGCAGGTGTTTTAGGACGTTGTATTTTTGTGTGAAAAGAGTAAGTTTTTTGTCTTTCTGCAATACTTGCAGAGTGGAATTTTTGATTGAATTGGAATCTGCAGGACCGCAGGGTTTTCTTCAGACTGGCTGAGGTTTTGGTTAAGAAAAAAATTTTGGTTTTTAATTTTCTTTCACTTCCACTGTATAATATATGGTAAGAGAGGAGTGTATTTCTGAAATAATTTTTGGTGTAAATTTCTGTTTTTGTAGAATCGTAGTATTTCAGTTTGGTTTTTCTTCTCCCTGGATATTCCAATGGTTCTTTTGTACATCATATAAGGATTATTTTAATAATTTTTTTAAAGTTCCTCTTTATGTGTAAGTAAAGGCTTCCTTAAATGTATTAGAGTGTAAGTGCAATAAATGTAAATGTATCTAATCCAACAAACATGACCTTACTTTTGTTCCAGGTTTGGTTCATGGCGGATGGAAGTGGAGGGCACTTTGCCGGAGGATCTCAAGAGAAGAGGGGTTTGTCTCAAAATGTTTACTTTATTTTTAAGGCTCTTCAGCTCTCATCAAACAAGGTTCAAGGGGTGGTTGGTGGGTGCTTCTTTCCAGTCAAACATCTTTCATTCTTGTCACTTCTCCGATTCTTTGTATGGTACTCTCTTTTTTGTTTTTGTAAAGTGTTTTACGGCGCTCGCAACTGCATAAGGTCATATGAGCGCGTGGGACACACCTAATATTGTCAGATGGTAGAAAATTTTGAATTTTGCCCGGGTGGCGGCCGAAGCCTACTCTTATCGATTTTAGACCACCAAGAGATCTTTAACGTGCGCAACTTGCACACGGGCCCTCCGAGATTTTTTCGCCCTTGTCCGAGAAGGCTAGGTGTAGATCTTTCCTACCAGAAGATCAGGGGTGTGGCTGAAAGACAGCAGTAAGAAGCGAAGGAGTAGTAGTAGAAAGGCTGCAGAAAGAATCAGGAGCCCAGAGGAAAGGGCAAAGGAGGTGAGGGGGTGGGGGCAGAAAGAGGAGACGAAAGCAGATGACAGAACTTTGTTAGAGAGCAGGAAATGAGGTGATGGGAGACAAATTTAGAGAAGAAAATTTTTCGGTCGCTTCCCAGATTCGAACCCGGGACCTTTTGAATGAGAGGCCAATACCTTAACTTCTAGGCCACGAGAGCCCCCATGGTACTGTCTAACATTTGACACTTATATGACCTGTTTGTGGTGCAAGTACCGTAAAAGTTTTTCTATAGCTTAACAAAACACAGCATGTTGAGCTATTTTCAGCTGGAGGCAGTTTTCTATGCCTTATACTTATAATTTTCAAAGAGAAATCCAATCTTGATCCCTGGTCTTGAATGATCAGCCTATGTGGAAAGTGGTGAAGTGTGAACCCAAACTTTTCCACAGGGAAAGATATTAGACTTGGTTAGCATGCTATTTGTATTCCTACAACTCTTAATCACCGACCAAAACTGAGTCGAAAGTACCATAAAACATCTGCTCAATCAATCAACTCTTAATCACGTGTCATTACATACCTGTTAGTTGGAGAGTATTGTTGCGTAAGTCTCCGCCATTATACCTCTATTTCTGTGTCATCTTGCTTTGTACGAACTTTTAAGCTGTCAGGATTGTTTTGCTTTTTCTGTTACCGAAACATGTCTGGACAGTCTCAAGAATTCATTGACATGATGTTTCTTTTGTGCTTTGTTTTGCAGTTGGACGATCTGAACGTTTTGCCATGCTATCATTTCCGAAATGACGCCATTCTTCTTTACGACGCAATAAAGAAGTATGCGAAGGCCTATGTAGATCTCTACTATCGTAAGTGTTTATGTATACTATCATGTACATTCTGTTTTAAAACAGGAGTAATTTTTTAAAATGTAATGGTCTAGAACGTTTTGAGCCTCACAAGTTGTCAAATATGTTAGCTGAGGACAATCCCACTTTATAGAGGACAAAAATGGAAGCATCAATGCTGAACTGACTGGCAGAGGGATCTGTGAATGAGGTTGACCCCAAAACTTGAATGGATGAAAATGGTTTCTTTTATCAGGAGAATCCTATATTCACACTTGTACCTATGGTTTTTGTTGGTGTGACTATTTTAAAAGCATACCTACCTTTTTTCAAGGAAGGGGGTGAGGGGGGAGAGGAGGAGCTGTGGTTATTAGCTTAGTTCTGTCACTATGGTGCTGTGAGATGCAGGTTACTCTGTTTTATACGGATGGGGGTGGGGGGCTCTACATGAATAAGATTGGTTTCCAAGTGTCTACTCTTGTTGTTCACACTCTATGATACAGAATTCCTTGCAGTGGGCTATCGTACATTTATTTTGACTGGTCACTGGTAGGTCCTACTTCTTTTCTTTCCCTGTGTTGTTTCTGTATGGCTGTCGATGTTACTTAATTTCTGTTCATAAAATGACTTTTGTCGAAATGCAGCTCTTTCCTCAAACTAAATGGCAGTTTGGAACCAACTTTATAACTTAAAGCTGACATTGGTGACATTGTTACTTTCTTCTGCAGCCACCGAGGAAAATCTAATTGAGGACGAGGAGATCCAGAGCTGGGTTCAGGAACTCGTGAAAGAACGAAGTATGAACGATGGAGGTGTCGGTATCCTGGTGAGTAGTGGTGGACTGTTAGGTTCCCGATTATTGTAAGCTAGGAATCGCAGGAATCGACTCCGAACCCAATTACTTTCTAATGATGTAATATCTCCTGGTGATTACCAGGTTGGCTCCGAACAATTTCAGGATTTAGGATAACCTTGATTTCGGAACACTACAAAATAAATTCTAAGGAAAAAATATTTTAATGAATAAAATAACTGGATATGGTAACCACTGGTTTACGTAAAAAGGAATCGGAACCTTTCTTCCGTAGCACTAATCGCGGGAATCTGTTCCAGAATCGAATCTTCGTCCAACTCTGCTGGTGAGGTCTCAGCTGCAGTGTTCTGTCCTCAGAATTGTGTATGTGACAGATTGCCCCTCTGGTCTTGAAGTCTCTTTGATTGAGTAAACTAAAGCACTTTGACTCAGTAAGTCATTTAGTGCAAGTATAAAACAAGGTAGACAGACAGACGGACAGACAGAAACTATAGAGGGAAAGAGAAGTGCTTGGTATGTTCTAAATCCATGGGAAGTGAACTGAGTTACTTGTCTACTGGCGGAAGTAACGAATGTATGTAACTGTCACGATTTTGTTTTAAACAGGTTCACGTGACTGCTCACTTTTCATGAAAGCATACTTTTTTATTTATTATTTAGATCACTATTGCTTTAAGTTTGCAAAGGCTGCTGTTCTGTTTGCATCCGTTTGTGACTAAATATTACCATTCAAGGGCTAAATTTGTGCAGATTACTATCAGTCTAGTTTATTAGGCTTCATACTTTGTATGCATGAACAGCATCTGTGATGTCGCGGTTAGGCTATTCATTTATGAATTCAGAAGATGAAAGTTCAATTTCTGAACAGGGAAATTTTTTTTTCAAGAATATCTGTCTGCTGCGATGTTAGATCCCACACAACGCTAGTTGGCCCTGACTCTGACTGTCAGTGTTGAAACACCCACCTCCCAAATTGTTTAAATTGTGTTGATGGAGGCATGAAATGCTTACAGGTATAGTTATGATAAGAGGAAACTTTATCGTAACTTTTCTATCTCCATCCACAAGCAAAGATTTCTATAAATGTCTGTCCATCCTTTTAACATGATGGTAGATTTGTTACAATAAAACTTGTGGGCTGTGGGTGGTTGGCGGGTGCTCTGGTGTGGTTTGCTTCTTCTTTCCTCTCAAACATCTATCGTCCTTCTCTCCCCTCCTTCTTTTTTGTGTTTGTAACACCTCTAATCTTCGGCACTTATATGACCTTATTGTGCAGCAAGTGCTGTAAATCTCTTACTAAAACTCTCCCCCCCCAAAAAGTGTTGGCACTTATGTGACCAAAATTGAGTTGATAGTGCCATAAAACACAGACTCAATCAATCAATCAATCTATCAATCAATCATCCACAGGGTGTGCCGGGAAATGGCAAACTGATGAACAATGAGCAACTGGTTCAGATCATAACCAGCATCATCTACACGTGCAGCATCTCCCACGCCTCCACCAACTTCCCACAGTATGAGGAGTACGCTTTCCCTCCCAACTACCCCGGCCTCATGAGAGGGTCTCCCCCAAAAAGCAAGGTTGGTCTTCTTTCTGTACAAATGTCTCAGGGGGCTCTCGTGGCCTAGAGTTTAAGGTGTTTGCCTCTCATTCAAAAGTCCGGGGTTCGAATCCGTATAGCGACAGAAAAATTTTTTTTCTCTAAAATTGTCTTTCACCTCCTTCCCTGCTCTCTAGCAATGTTCTGTTGTCTCCTTTCTTCTCCACTTTCTGCCCCCACCCCCTCACCTCCTTTGCCCCCTCCTCTGGGGTCCTGACTCTTTCTGTGGTCTTTCTACTGCTACTCCTTGGCTGCTTCTTACTGCTGTTTTTCAGCCACACCTGTGATCTTATGATAGGAAAGATCTACACCTAGCTTCCTCGGACAGGGACGAAAAATCTCAGGGGTTCCGTGTGCAGGTTGGGCACATTAAAGATCCCTTGGTGGTATAAAATCGATACGAGTAGGCTTTGGCCACCACCCGAGTGAAATTGTAAATTTCCTACCAACTGAAAATGTTTAACTGTGTCCTGTGCACTCATATGAACTAATGCAGTTGCGAGCACCGCAAAACACTTACCCCAAAAAATACTGTGCCTGAACTGCAACAGGGAACTGCTGCTTTTTCTTTCCTAATCCTTACTATTGTCATTTTTCTTCTTCTTCATTTGTATGTTTGTCACACGCTTGTGACCTGCTATTTCCGGGTGCCTTGATAGTCAAAGCAGGCTTTGTGCTGTTGAAGCTAGAGAGGTGAGCAGAGTAAGTCTGATTCCCTGTAGTCCTGTAGGGACTTCTCTTTTAACATCCACCCTTGGCGCTCATATGACCTTATGCGTTTTCAATGACACTTGCACAGGTATTTTGGGGTGACCAATATATTACATAACCTGTGATTGACTTACACACCTCTATGTCTGTGTCTGTGCAGACTGTAGAAATCACCCAGCGAGACATCTTGGATTGCCTGCCTGACCGACCGACCACACTGGACATCATGATTGTCACCAAGATCCTCAGTGCCAAAGGAACAAAGAGCATCGGAGACTTTGAAGTACAGTACATCTTCGACCCTCAAGCTAGAGACATCGTTGACACGTAAGTGAAAGGTTTTCTCTGTCTATAAAAATCACACCAGTTCGTGATGCTGAAGTTATAACTCGGCACATAGGTGTGTCTAATCAGTTAATCAGCAGTTTTCATAATTGTCCAAAAACATGACAGACAAGGCCAAAGTTGCTCATCACCTCAATTATCTGAATTCTAAATTTTGATGATCAGGAAGGAGGGGAGGAGGGGGGGGGGGGTTAAGATATTAGTATTTTGTGTTTTTATTTCGCACATAGATAAGGATTCAGCAAAATTTTTTTAAATAGTAGGCCTACTATAATTTAGCAAGTGGATTTTTTTTTCATGTTTAACCAGTAAAATAATTTTACAAGAAACTGTTAACAAGATGCACGATATTTATATATGGCATACATTATATATGAACAACATGGAGGGAGACTAATATGAGCTGCCTTTTTAAAATCTTTATATATTATCTTACACGGTGAGGGTTGATGTTTATTTCTCATAATAGTCGTACCAACAGTTGTTTTTGCTTGTTTTGGCAAGTGGAGAAGGAGAGGAAGTTCCTTTTTGCGTGGCGTGCAACACATTTCACAGTTCGGCACATCCTGACGGAATGTGTTGACTTCAACGATAACGTACAAAATATTTTAAATGTAAAGATGTCAAAACTCTTTTTGACGTTATTAACCCGAGAGAAGTTTTAAGTTTTATTAAAGAAATAGGACTGTTTAATAGGATATAAAAATATATAGTTATTGTTGTCAGTGTATATACTTACACTGATATTGATATTGTAAATACAAATGTAAATGTCTTCACCATATGTACAAAAATTTTCATAAATGTCTATCCGTCCTTTTAGCATGATGATGATAATATGACCGTGTGCAGTTGCGAGCGCCGAAAAACTCTTACTAAAAAATGAATTGAGCCTAGTTTTGTTGCAGTGGAACTTGTTGGCACTTAAATGACCAAAATTGAGTCGATAGTGCCGTAAAACACCTACTCAATCAATCAAATCATTGGCGAGTGGCGTATTTTGTGGAACATTTATTGTTATGGTGAAGTGCGACCATTATTGAGCTAGCTGGCTGAAAATATTGAGATAACATGGTTTTATCTGACTTTATTGTTTCTTAATTTTCCCAAAAAAAAACAACCAAAAAAAAACTTGTTTTGGAAAATTGATGGGGTTTTTTTTTCTTTTTTTTTTTTTTATGTAGATCTACAAAATATGTCTTAAAAACTGTCAATAGGTAATTTGAAACAGATTTATGGACAGGTTTTTATGTCTGTCCATTCTTTTAGTTAGTTCTGGGATAGGCTGATGCCAGGAAAAATCTATATTTATATCTTGAAATTTACTACCTAATTTTTTCTTACGGAATGATTAAAACATAATATATCATACTCAAAATAGACTTGTTCGTTATTCCAATCTGGCACACCATTAGCTTAGTTGGTATCATACTGGACTCTGGGGTAGATGGCCCAGGTTTGAATCCCAGATTGGATGTTCTTACACTCAGGTCATTTGCGGAGTTTTCAAGGCTCTCAACCCATATGGCTCAGTCCCATTGGAGAGGAACATAAAATTTGGAGGTCCTGCCTCTTAAATAAGTTTTAATGCCCTAATGGTGTTGATGGAGGTATTAAATTCATTCACTTGTTTTCCTAATTTCATTCTGCGCAGGTTCCGCAAGGATCTGAAGGAGATCAGTCGGAAGATCAAGGAGAGAAACCTGCACAGAAATCCGCCCTACGAATATTTGGACCCCGACATCATCCCCAACAGCATCAGCATCTGAGAACTTCACCAACATTCTAGAGGATATCATCAACATTTTCATATACTTTTGTTAATTTGTGTTTTTGATCGAAAGAAAACTGTGATTTAGTTGTTCTCCAGAGAATTCTGAAGAAAACTTGTCTTGATGTGCAGCTTTGACAGACGCCATTGTCTTCTACAGAAAAAGCTGGAGTTGTATTCTAAAAGACAGTTTTTCAGAACAAAATTGAGTCGATGTGCTGTAAAACACCTACTCAAACAGTTTTTCCAGTTTTGGACGAAATTGAGGAATCAAATCCAACTGATAGTTTAAAACCCAGCACACATTTCTGCTTTAGTCTGGAATCAATATCTTAATGAATAAGGCTGGGAAAGTGCTTTGAAGATATTGCAATGCGAAGATTTGGGTGTTTTGGCTCTCCTGAACATTTCACGAAATTGGATATATATACTGTCTTTTGAAAATAAAACTCCAGAGAAACACTGTCCAGCACAGCTTTACCTGCAAACTGCTCACACCTACCTTGAGTCATTTCCACAATGTAACTGGGTAAAACTGTTGGATATGTTATTGTTATATATTTATGTTTGTTGCAATATCAGATTGTTCCCTCTTTTGTTCCAGTTTTACCTCTGTGTTCATTCACTTGTACTGAGCTGTATGTCTACCTTTTAATTTCAACAGAATGGGAGTTTATGCTTCAGAGGATCAATATTTCAGTGTAGAGTAGGATTACTTTGGTTATTTGTTCTCTACTAATAATTTACTGAATCCCCCCCCCAAAAAAAAAATAAAAAATTAAAAAAATCTAGAAAATAATTTTTATGACTTTTCTTTTTCTTTTATTACCCCCAGCCCACAAGACAGTGTTCTATTTTGCAGACCTTACTAGATCTAGTAATAGTAGTAAGAGATGTATTAATTTTGCCAGAATGGAGTGTTCATACAGATTAGCTTGCTTTTTTTTTGCCATGTCAATTATTTCCTCATGTCTGCACACTTTCTCTTTGTCAGAATCAGAATGCTATGTTTTTGTCCATATATATAGGTAAATATGTGTACAAAGTGGAAATTGTTTCGTCATCACATTTGTTTGTACATGACCCTTCGAGTTCATGCTCTTGTCCATTATGTTTTTGGTTAGTTTGTCCTTGCTTGATTGATTTGAACAGAAGTTTCCTAGATCGCATTTGATCAGAATTCATGACACTTTCACAGTTTCATGATTAGTATGTAAGTTCCAGTCCCTAAATCATCGTTGGTTAGTGTATTTACTATCTTCAAATTGGAGAAAAAAAAATTATTCAGTGGAACAAAAATTTCTGTGATACTTAATGAAATTTGGAGGGGAAAAGAATAATACAGGGTGAGATTTACCTATAACTTATTCCCCACCGCACGCCGTGATTTATGACGAAATGGGTCACGACGAGGTGGAAGCAGACGCTCGTAAATTTTTGGGCATATTGAGTTTGTGCGAAAACATATCCATGTATCTTGAAAAGAAATGGAGATATTTGCGATTGGCTGTGAAGGTCGTCTGGTGGGAGAGGTCATAAAAAGTGTAGAGCAAAAAGAAGAATTTTTTTTTTTAATTGCCCAAAACTCAGAAAAATTTTGTTGTTTTCATTTAATTGTTTTGAGGAGTGCCCGATTTCACCTAGCTGCCTCACAAATGTTTAATAAATTCTTAATCCTTCCACTCCAGAGTGTGCTGACTCGGACAAACCATAATTTTATGCTCAAATCACATTTTGTCTTGAACTGTCGGATAAGAAATTCATTTCCCTGAATTTTTATGTATACGACATATTTGAGTAAATTATTTTTTAAAAATCAGGAGAAATTCTGTTTTGTTTCTGAATTCAATCAGAAAAGGAAAAAAAGGTTTGGTGACAATAATAAAAATGGTCTAGTTGAGAAAGAGTGAAGTGTAGTTTTTTTGTTCAGTTTATGCTTCATTGGATCATTGGATCATAATGTCAAAATGTAATGTATCACAGTCATGGGAACCTTTATGATAATGACATAATCATGAATGTATCCTACTCCACTCAGTACCGAGGTCTGAGAGTTCTGTGAGCTTACGTTGTTCACTTGACCATTCTCTTCCTTTTTGCCTTATGGAAAACGCTTCAGAGCAGCTTGTTTCATCGTAATGAGCACTTCTGCTCGAATCAATTCTTGGCATTGTGCTGGGGATATGGACATAGCCTTAGGCCTACCAGTCACCTGTGTATAGGATGTTACCTTCATTTCCTCATTATAACTTGTTGATGACTTTATTTCAAAGTGAATCATCAAAGAATCAGTGACCAAGACAAATTTGTGTAGTACGGTACCCATGTATGTGGGACTGACTTTCTCAATTTTCCTGGTTCAATCTCCCTCTTTCTTATGTCCAGACAGCTGCAGTTGGGAGTTCTGTAAGATAATGCACGATACATGTATTTGTACTTATTTTGCAGCCAAAATTGGTCCAAAAATCATTCTTCGAAACATTCATGTATGTATAAGAAATCCTTATGTGAAATGCTCACAACGTGGTAAAAGTTTTGTTTTTTTTCTTCCCAATTTCTTTCTGTCCATATCAAAAAGTATAACACTCACAAGTGACATGTACATAATTTATCTCAATAGATCCTATGTTTTGCTCATTCAGTATTATTTACTGTAAACAAAAGCTCTGCTGAAGAAAGAAATCATGTTCTACTTTAAAAACAAAAAGAACTCAGAAATCTTCTGCACACATTGCAAAAATGCTTGTGACCCACATTGATCCAATGTCTGACTGACATGTGGCTGTGGCAGATCAAACATACTTACATCTGAGATATTTGGTAGAGAGGTCACACTTTACATCATTCGCTGTGTAAAGTGAACTTAACATTAACAAAACAAATATATGCTTTGCTTATATTTTCTTTGGCTTTTTTCCTAAATAATTCCCATCTGGTGCTAGTGGTATCTGTGTCCAGAATCACAGGAAAGAAAGCTTATGGTTAAATAAGTGTATTAATTTTTTATTTTCTTATACTAATACATGTTTTTTATCATTGTTCGTCTTTTGTCGCCGCACATGTCTTTGAGCAGCCTCTGAGCACTTTTGAATATATAATATCTCCTAGTGCGAGATAGTTACCTTGTAAACAAGTTGGTATTTCATGTATTTGTCCCATAAGTTGAACAAATGTCAGTGCCATTTTGAGGCATATCAGAATGAAGTGGGGGGTTTTCTTTTCTTTATCCATTCACAAGAGTAGTCAAGTCATTATGTCCCATCTTTCCGTTAACTAGACCTCACCGTACCAAATGTATGCTATGTCAAGGCAATGTGCTTTATCAAAACCGTATCATCATTTGAAAACATTTTGGCTCTGTTAGTCTTATCATTCCATATTATTATATTATTATTTTGAAACATCTGTCTTTGTGTGAGGAATGTCTTTTCTGTCTGATTGATTGCTTATTTCCTCATTCATGAGATGTTGGTGTGTGGTTCAAGAGCACCGTTGATAGATTCTACTTTTCTCTCTCTCCTGTTTCCATCTGCCATTCTTGCTCTTTCCCAGCACAAATTGATCTTGTTTTGCTTCTCTTCACATAAATGGCCAATGGGTCTGTCCTTGGTTCCTCTACAGCTGCAGAAGATATCAATATTTTTTGTTTTTGATTACTGTTGTTGCGAATAGCATCAGTTTTCATTTGTCTCAAAGCAAAGATGTTGATGTTGTCCCCTTTGAAGTCAAGGAATTGATGGCCCATTTTCAGTTGTCTGTAAAGTTATTTTCTCACATTTGAGCAATTGAACACAACTACAACTATAAGCATCACCCAAATACGTACTCGTTTTGCACATCCTCTGTTCTTGTTCTTCCTTTTGAATAATATTCTATATATGGAACTCAAAGATTTTATCTAAAATCAACTCATAATTTTATAGAATTACGAATTTTTTAAGTATGTATTTGTACGACTTGGATGTGTTTGTTGTACAAAAGTTCAATATGGCTTTTCTTTCAAATTTAATTATCTGCAGGTGTTTATGACGGCAATCAGGATATGTACATGTAAAAGTATTTGCTCCGACTTGAATTTCATTGTCATTTGTGCACTCCCAGGCACTTTCATTTCCCAAATGAAAAAAATAAAATTTATTCCATAAAATTATCAACTGCCTTGGAATATTTGATATGAACATGTAGAGCAACAATGTACTTAATTTCCAGAAATGTAGTGCTAAAAGGATACAGGGTGGGTGTCGCCGGGTTTCAGAGGTAAAACTAGAGAGAAAATGACCACCAAAGTTTGGGGACTGCCATAGCTTGAAAATCCTTGGAAAGCGAAAATTTACATTTTTTGGTGCCTTTAATCAAAAATTTTCAGTAACATCTACTCAGAAATTTGTTTTTAAATGGACATTAAAGATGTTGAACAAAAACAAAAATTGTATAAAAATTGCCAAACTATCAGAAAAATGCCAGATTCTTCAATTTCATTATTTTGACTGGCGGCTGACTTCACCACCGTGCCTCACACATTCGTCTTTTGAATGATCAACAGACGAAAAAGCCAATAATAAAGATATTGAGACCACATTGCTGCAGCACGTAACTTCCCCCTTTCAGCCACACCCCTGATCTTCTGGTAGGAAAAAACTACACCTTGCCTTCTCGGACAAGGGCGAAAATCTCAGATGTCTCGTGTGCAAGTTGCGCATATTAAAGATCCCTGGGTGATCTAAAATCAATAAGAGTAGGCTTCAGCCGCCACCTGTGCAAAATTCAAAATTTCCCACCAACTGAAAGTGTTTGGTGTGTCCCACGCACTCATATGACCGTACACAGTCCTGAGCGCCGTAATACACTTACCAAAAGAAAAAGAAAGAAGTAAAATATTACACGCCACTAGTACCTGTGGTGTTGGGGTTAGGCACTTAGCTGTCACACGCAGGAGACGCAATGAGAGCAATTCCTGAGTGCGGCGAATTTTTATCGAGAATCTGTCTTTCCGCTGGGATGTTGTATCCCTCTGTCAGCCCGGATTGGCCCTGAATGGTCTCTTTTAAGCACAAGGGCGCTATCCTAAAAAATGCTGTTTTGAGAAAATCAAAGGTAAAGTTTTTGCCCCTTGTTCAGTTTCTTTAAAAGACGAGGAGAGTTTTTCTCTATAACCAAACAAATATAAACGTACACGCCAATGACTATGAGGCCAAATTTCTCCAATAGATATAGGGCAATGTTCACTTTTGGTATAGGTCAAGATTTCTGGAAACCCCCAAAATCTGGGCTAGCCCGTTTGTCCTTAAAAGCAACCAAATATATACTGTGTTGATGGGGGCGCAAAAACACTCATTATAAAAAAAAACAATTTTTAATAGTCCTATCCTACACTCTTTTCTGCCTGCGTGACTTGTTGCTGACAGTCACAGTGTCAGTGAGCGGATGGTTGGCGCGTGTTCAGGTGTGGTCTGCCCCTTCTTTCCTGTCAAACCTATCATCCTTATCTCTCTTCCTCCTGTTTTGTTTGTAAATCTCTTGTTGCACCTCTAATTCTAACCTTCGGCCCTTATATGACCTAATTGTTGCAAGTGCCGTAAAACGCTTACTAACATTTTTTAAAGTCACAGAGGGTACGTAGTCTCTGCATGAAAAAAATTGTCTGACCACAAAAAAATTGCTAGACCAGACACTCACAGTTAAGCCTATGCATGGGTTTGGGATTTGTTTAAGTTTAAGTAAGAGTTATAAAGCACATGCAATAAAAATTATAGGTCATAAGAGTGCTGAAGTCTGCGGTTTGTGCAAGTACGTTTTTTTTAAATTTCAATTTTTGAAAAAACCAAGGAATTGACTCGTCTCCCAAATTCTCGTTATTTCAGTTGATACAGATATATCCCACTGTGCTTTTTCCAAATAAAGCTTGTCAAGTAAATTGGAGAACAAAAATGCCTCAAAACAAACTGTCACAACACTCGCTCCTCTTTTCCCACATACTTGTGAAACAGGGACAAACTAATATCACGCCAGTCTTCCAACATTTATTGAACTTGTTCAGTTTATTTTATTTATAAAATGCCATAAAGAACTCACAACAATAAACATGACAAAATGAAAGAAAAGTATGCTGCACAAATACAAAATAGTAACATGAAACTGTACATCATGAAAGTAAGTAAGTTAGAAATAAAACTTCAATGGCAAAACACGTCTTTCATTCAATGTACTCACAGCAAATCTGATGAATGTTGGAAAGTCTATCAGAGCCACAAAAATTGCAAAGCCCCTTCCCCCTCCATCCTCCCATGAGAATTATATCTTTGAAAATACATACTTTGTGAAGTTGCCTTGGGATGCTTCCTTTTGTTTTCCTCAAAAACAGTTCTCATGACCAGTTAGAAGTAATCTTATTTGTTCCAGTGTGTTTATCTGAGTACATGTTGTCAGTGTCACAAGCAATCCACTGAAGTCAGTTTATGTACTTTTTACACTAGTGACATAAAAACTAGATGTTGCTGTGTTGTTCCTGTCAAGAATCATGAATAGCAAGAAAATTGTAAGCCTTGACCATAGCATTAAATACTTGCTCCCGCAGTTCATGACCCTACAGCGCTACCTTGCCCTCACTGCCCAAGGACCTTCAAGGCGAAGATTGGCTTAATCAGCCACCTGAGGACCCACCCCACCCCCTCGGATATGATGAAGAAGGTCTTCTTCCCTCAGGAAGGACAAACACCAGCACTAATACGATGAAACTGCATTTTGGTGATGTTGAAAAGGTGCATCTTTGATAGAGCTTTGGGAGGGAGAAAAAATTGAAAATGTTCAAAATTTTGACTTATTGCTCGTGACAGCGACTACGTTTATTTTTGTTTACCTTCACAAAAATTTAAGATCAACAGTTCACTTCACCATCAACGTCTGTGACGGAAATCTTCTGTCTACTTTCTGAGCATTCTAATATGTGAACTAGTGTCCTCTTCAGAGGAGGGCTGATACAGTACTTTTATCTAGCTTTTCATTCTGAATGAATTCAATAAATATCTATCTAATCTTTGCCTCTGAAATAGGCTGTTAGAGTAGCAAATAAAACTGAAGTCGATATCACTTCGCAAATAAAATTATATTTTCTGTTCTTGTGAAGCAGATCTATATATCTCTGAACACATGTGAGTTTTGAAATCCGAATTCGTCAGAACCAACCTTGGTAGTTGAAAAGATCCGTAGTTCCAGGGATGTCTTACAAAGATATAGAAGAAAGGGGGACCACAGACACAGTTCGACAGAAGCGTGCATTCAAGTCATCTGTGTTCAACCTATCTGTGTTATACTGTATTTTGTAACCAAAATGGCTGTGAACGGATTAAAGAACAAGATACAGTCCGTGCCGGCTTTAAGCACGCCGGCTTAAAGCACGTTTCGGACTCAAGCACGCTAAACGGCTCTTACCGAATATTTGCTATATAAATTACACGCCTTTAACTCACTTGCGACTGGGCCCTTTCACCAGCCACAAGCGTTGAAGACTGGCGTTTTGGGGGGTATTTCAATAAATCACCACAACTCTCAGAATTACCCTATTGTAATCATTTTTTGACACAGTAAAGTAACATTCAAGCTTAATCTAATACAAAAAACTAAAGTTGTCTAAGTCTAATACTTTAATTTGTATGATTTTTTAAAAATTGGCATGAATTTGATTTTCGAAAAATTTCCAGAGACGTGACAAGTAGAATGAAATTCACTGCAACAACAAAAATAAAAGTTCAAAGTGTTCTGGTTTGATTTGTATACATGTGCAAGTGTTTGGTGAAAATATAAAAGCTGGTCTGTGCATTGATTCAGACCCATACACTGAATTACATGAGACAGATGTACAGCACGACGTTGTGATTTCGTTGCGCGAAAAACAACACCGGTACTAGTGCTAGATCTAGCCCTAGAACTGCGACTCGGGCCGTGTTCGGGTACATATCCAGGATCCTAACTATTAGACACATCATATTCTGAGACACTAGAACTAGTGAAACGCACAGAAGTATAGAAAACGGCGAAATTATGTGATTCTTGTTCATGCGACTTCTTCGACCGTTACTACGACGCGACTGTCGGATTACTATGAGCTGTATAGAAAAAAACAAAGCGCGAGTTCCGGTCTGTTCAACCCCAGTTGGGGTCACTGTCCTTCACCTTCAATAACTTAAAAACTACCGGCCCCAGAGATACGAAACGAAGTCTAAGTAGCTCAGGCTTGGCCAAACAAGGGTACGAGGCGGGTCTCGCGATCCGTGCGTGATCTGTAGAGCGAAAAAAAAATTCCAAAGTTGGTCACGCAGGGCTTGTGAGACCCGACGCGAGCGTCATGGCGGGGGTCACGCAACTGTTGTGTGACCCGTCTGAAGTGAGTTAAGCACGGTAACTTCAGCTTCAAGCACGCTTCATTTACAAGACAGTCAATATTTTCATGATGACCCATCGAAGTTCGAACACAGTCTACACCGCAGCAGTGGAGTGTGTCAAGAGAAACACAAAGAACACAAGTGATGGACACACACACTCACACGGGCGGAGAGGAGGGCAGATGCACACAGCCACGCGCGCGGACATAGGATTTAGCCTAGGCCTACGGCAAAGCTACACACGACCAAAAAAAATACAAAGAGATACAAATTACTATACAATTTTTGAATTAGAGAAAAAAACAAATGTTTCAGACGAGTGATAATGTTAATAATAAAAAATACACAAAATGAAATGACATAATATTTGCAGGTTTTATGTTCATTACACTCATCCTTCCTATACAATCCTTCAACGGTAAATGTAAAAAAAATATTCAACCTTTCAAACTCTTCAGGCACACTGGCTTCCAACTTGCATAACAGGCACAAATTTACTTTCATACTGAGTCAAAACAAAAAACCCACAAATAAAACCCCCAGATAAACACAATTGAGTCTGAAGAAAGGGGTTCATCTGATCGTGTACACTAGATTCTTGAGCGCAGATTTGTTTGTGTTTGGGTAAGGCACGTCTCCGTAATTGATGGGTGAGCGGATCTTGATCCTGCGTATGTGAGTGTCGCGTCCGTTCTGGTGGTTGCTGAGCACGGCGATCTGAATCATGAACGTGCGGATGGGTTTGTCCACAGAGTCTTTGAGAGGAATGCACACCCAGCCCGTCGGCTCACTCAGCTCCACCTGCTCAATCTCGGTCAAGTCGTTGGCGTGATTTCCTGCTCTGATAGATAGCCTGTGGATAAACACAACGTTCTAAATTAGTTACTACTAGCATCATTGTTCATTTAGGGTCCTGTAAATATGTATACATCAAAATTACCAAAGTCATGCTCCCAAAGAAGTTTTATTTCTGTTTAAATGAGTTCAGAGTAAAGATACAGTGAGCTTTACTATCAACATAAGTATCATTTCAATAAACTGAAAATAGCCTTCCTTTACCATGTTCCATAATCCTGTCAGATATAGCCGCCTGAATCTTAAAGACCCATCACATGGCTTAGACAGAAAAAAATATGCTAGAACACAAAACAGTCACAGAAGTAGCTAATGAAAGCAAACCCTCCTTGTAATCATGCTTGTGTCATCACCAGCTGACTTATTGTTGAAATATACCTAATTTCTTAAAGAAAAACACCATAGTAAACCCATTGTACCGCCACTTACAATTAATTAACAATTCCAGGACTAAATGTGGAAATGGAAAGATCGCTACTTTTAAGCAATGGCACAATTTTCTCGCAGTAGTAATTACTATAATCGCCTGTTAATTAAACTCTTTTTATCCGGGCTACGAGTATACTCGGAACAGCTATACGGTCACGTCAAAGAAGCTAGTGCTGCTTGTAATTACCAAAATACGCGAATACGGCGATGCTAGCTCTTATAGTAGAGGGTTTTACGGCACTAGCAACTGCATAAGGTTATATGAGCACCAAGGGGTGGGTGTCAACAGAGAAGTCTTTACAGGGAATCAGACTTAAACTGCTCACCTCTCTAGCTTCAACAACACAAGGTCTGCTTCGACTATCGGCACCCCAAAATAGCAGGTTACAAGAGAGTGACAAACATACAAAAGAAGTAGAGGAAAATGGCAACAGTAAGGATCAGGAAAGAAAAAGCAGCAGTTCCCTGTTGTAGATCAGGCACAGTTATGAGCGTGACATGAGTCAGCCCATTTACAATTCTACTATGCTTGAACAAGAAATGTCCCCCCTTTGGGAATGGTCTAAAGACACTTCAGTCAGTGGCACTGCTCCATGATACTAATTTAATGAAAGTGACTCTGAATCAAGTGCCGTAAATTCCGTTGTGGATGATAACGAACAGGACTTAAACTCATCTAATAGTGATTTAGATCATGGTGAAGGGATGAGGACTGGAATTCGTGCTGTATCAATGGGTATGGGTAGATCTATAAATCCAAGAGGACGTCGTGGGCGCGGCAATCAGGGTCAAGTTGGGGCATGGAATATACCTCAAAATGTACATGGTGCAATAGGTGTAATTCCTTACCACATACATTTACAAAAACTACATTCAGTTTCTAACATAACTACCAAATTTCCTTAAAACCTTAAAGTGAACGTAAGAAATATAGCACTTTGAAATATACACACTGAATTCCAAGTCACACGGTGTGGCGGCCCCAGGACGGGCACAGAGTCCGTGGGGGTACGACAAGGATAAAAAGAGATAATGGTAGACTGGTAATTCAGAGGATAAAAAGAGATAATGGTAGACTGGTAATTCAGCATCGCTCAGTGTTTGTGTACTCCCAGCAGACTGGGCTTTTGGTCTAATGAATGGGTTGATGAACACTAGTCCAGCTCACCCGGTCTAAGACTCAAAACCAAAATAAACACAACTACAGTCAAGTCATTATACACCTAACCTGAGGACAAGCATGTGGTCGGTACTGCTGGGTCGCGAGCGCGAGAACGGAACTGAATCGCCACTCTTGCCTGCGGAACGTGATTCATGATTCACTTCAGCGGAACGCGGAAAAGTATCGCCAAACAATTCCCGATTCCCTCCCCTGTCGCTGTCACCACCTTGTGGCTTGTTTAACCTACTGCTGAGTCGAGTCACGAGCGCAAGAACGGAACGGAACACTTAGTACGGCTCCCCTTATTTTAAAAAAGATGGTATAGTCCAACCCCCCTATTAAAACAAAATGAACGGGGTCCAACCAATAGACAGAAGAAATTTTGTGGAGCCATTGTTTTAGCGAATCATGGGGTTGGGGGGGGGGGTGAATTTATGGGGGTCACAAAATGAGGTCAGTTGATACTGATAGAGCAGCGAAACAAAGGGTGTGGGGTGGAGAGGATGGCGGAACAACAAGAGTGGGACTTGCGCTCGCCAAGTGGCGTTGATATGACACTGTTCCATTTCAGTCAGTGTTCCGCCACAGTTCCACGAGCGCTCGCGTACTCACGATTCATTGAAGCCGACTGAATCGCGAATCGCCACTCTCAAATTTGGCGAGCAGGATCCAGCCCTAGTGGTCGGTGGTTCTGCTCAAGTTTTCATGTCGAAGAACCAACCGCCCAGTGTCAAAGAAAATCACTCTACTCAATCTACGGTGTGATCTGTGTTTAAAAAGCGCCTTTCTGTTGGATGCTGGTGAATTACATGCATTTAAAGTTGAATGTCTTTTGCTGCTCTTTCTCTCATTCATAAAGTGTGTGTGTGTGTGTTTGTGTACAATATTCAAACTTCAGATTACATGTACCACCGGATCAGCGGATACTTGTCAAACACATGCTGCTTGAAATCTACAAAGCAAGGGTGGGGAGGTGTTAACTGGCGACAAAGGAAGATTATCATTTTGTAACAACCGAGTGAATGACAGTGAATGCCGGGCGCAGTGTGCAGTGTGTACCTCTGGCTGACAATTTGCTGACAGTGTTGTGGGTCAAATTTACAATAGTTTAAAACAGACCTTACAACCCAGACAGTTGGTCAATGGAGGTTTAAAGGAGTGTTCTGCTTAGTGCACTCGCAAAACCTGGTGGTAAGCTGGACAAGCAATATAAATAATGAGGTTTGATTGTATCTGAAGACAACTCTGAGAAAGTTGAATCCCTTTCAGATCACACTGCAGCAGTCGTGTCATAAATAGGAAAATACAAAAATTAAACCTTTCGTAAATCAAGAATCACCACACATGCAAAGAAAAAAAATATTTAGACAGCACACAGTGAAGAAGAACTTTGCTTGGTGACCTGTTTGGAGTGTAGCTCTCATCAGCCTTGTAGTCCGCATAAAGGCAGACGTCTTGCACGGTCGTCTTCCTCCGGAACTGGATGCTCACAGTGTGGGGCTGTGGGCCGTCTGACTGCCAGTAGGTGTCATTGCTTTCATCCCGCAACTGATCAACGCCAAAACCTGGAGACCACCATTTCGTATAAGTATATTATTTGTGAGACATCATTGTGAAATCAGGCTCTCGTCAAAATAAGAAAAGCAAAGAAATGGGCAATTTTTTTCTAATTTTCATTTTTTTGGCTCATGAATTTTTATGTCCATTTAAAAAGACATTTGTGATTTATGACACAAAAATGTAGATTTTCAGTTTCCAAGGACTCTAATGCTATAGGAGTTACCAAACTTCACAGCACTTCCCGCTACTCACACATATTTTGGTACGCATATGGCTTACGTCACAGCTCACCAATTACATTTTTTGTGGCAAAACTAGTTACAAGAAATTAATTTATAGTGAACACTCTTTTGCACTAAAAGTTCTCAAGACATGCGTTCAATAAAGATAATCTCGCGATTAGAAAAACATTGACGGACTTCCTTTTAAAAGCGATATTGTCTCAGCAGTAAACCTTTTAAAATCAGTAGATACCACCGGTAGAAATTCTCTCCAGAATCGTGCAAACAACAGCTGCGCTGTCAAACCTGAAGCCTATTTGGTAGGACAGAAACATCACGCTCAACTCGAAGATCAGATTAATGCACTCACTGGTCATCTCAATATTTTTATACACGCCTGTGAGTCGTGGACACAGCAAAATTGGAGAAAAGGATTCAGACGACAGAAATGAGATGTTACCGCAGACTCCTTAACATCTCATACAAAGACCACATTTCAAATGCTGAGGTACGGTCGAACAGAATCACAAACGCAGTGGGGCAATATGAAGATCTACTGACCACAGTGAAGAGACGAAAATTTACATGGTATGAGCATGTCACTAGATCCACAGGACTAGCCAAAACAATCCTACGAGGAACTGTACAAGGAAAGAGTAAAAGAGGAAGGCAGAGAAGGAGATGGGAGGACAACATCGCAGAGTGGACAGGGAAGACGATGGGTGACAATCTAAGGAAAGCAGAGGACAAAGAGAAATGGCGAGAACTGTTTTTCAGGTGCAGTGGTGCCCCCAAGGTTGCCCCAACCACGGGATAGAAGAAGACACCACCCACTGGGATTTTTTATTAGTATTTATTAAGGAATTTTCTAGAATAGAGCTAACAGGTACAAAAATACTACGAAACGATTATTTCTCCGAACGTTTGGGAAAATAAACTTGAACTCTATTTCTCCAAACGGTTTCCGTTTTCAAGATTTTTTGGTTATTTGCGAGATTTAGGCGTCATCTTTCATTCTGCCATTCTGCGAGGACTGGGAAGAAGCATTTTTTTGCATCAAATTCAATTTCTAGAGCAAGATATTATTAAATATCTGAATATTCAGATACTTCAGTTGTGGTTGGGGCAAAGTTCCTGGACTTTACTTCATTTGAAAATACCTTCAAAAGGTACTGCAAGAAAATAAGACTGATCGACCTTGGCAGTAACCTATTTTGCATTTAGTCATCCAGCAAAAAATAAAATCCTGAATGTAAAAAAAAAATCCCTCCAGGCCCCACCCCCAGGCCCCATTCACGCCTTAGGCATACACACACATGCACACTCACACACACACACACACTCACACACACATAGGCCACTCCATTCATAATTATTATCAACAAATCTTGAGAACGGAAACCGTTCGGAGAAATCAAGTTTATTTTCCCGAACGTTCGGAGAAATAGAGCCAAAATACTAATCTGTTAAGACAAATATTTAAATTGATAAAAGTCACTGTGCAAAAGCTGCAGAGTTTATCTTCGATAGTTAAGGAGATATTAAATTTGATAATAAGTTGCGTCATTAATTTTTTACTGCACTATAGTGCCATGAACGTAGCCTCAACAGCGCCTGCAAACTACTTTCAGGGCATGGTGAACGTAGCCTGTGTAGGCACCTAAATACTTTCAAATCAAATTCACCCTGTTTCTTGTACAGGAGTGTATACAGACCCGGTAACCGGGAACAAAGTCACGAAGTATACAGACCCGCTAGGGGAACTCTTTTGTGATTTCGGAAAGTTTCAGCGCCCTCTTGGCTCAGGGTAGACCTAGGTTCATCTAGATCAACGGCCTAGGTCTAGATCTAGACAGACAGACACATAAATCATAGATCTAGTTTCGAGGCTAGCCTGGCTAGATCTAGATCTAGATCTAGATCTAAATAAAGATTGCGAATGGATGTCTTTTCGGTGATCGATCATTTTTCCTCCGTTTTGGAGTTGGAGGAATCACAATTTGAAGAAAAGAACAATGTCATTTAATTTCAATAGAGCAGTCACCCTCTCTATTTCTCTGCCTCTCTCTCTCTCTCTCCTCTCTGTGTATCGCTCACCTTCTCTTTTTCTTAGTTTGTCTCTGTCTTCCTTTCTCTCCACCTATTTCCCACTGTCTTTCTCTCGTTCCGTCCTGCCAACTGGGGCATGTCATACATTTTGCTAGTGCTCACCTCTCTCTCTCTCTCTCTCTCTCACACACACATACACGCACACAACCGGGTTTGGGCGCTGAAACTCTCCGAAATCACAAAAAGAGTTCCCCTACCAGGTCTGTATACTTTGTGACTTTGTTCCCGGTTACTGGGTCTGTATACACTTCATTCTTGTACTGAGATAGATTCTACATCTAGATCTAGATATATTAGATATCTAGATCTCTAGTAGCAAAGGAACTGATAATGTTAGGACCTGAGCTTTCACACAAGTATCTATAAGGCATAGTTTAGTTTTAGTAGAGGTTTTACAGCGCTCGCAACTGCATAAGGTCATATGAGCGCCAGAAGATTAGAGGTGTTACAAGAGAGTAACAAACATAAAAAAGAAGGAGGGGAGATATAAGGACGATAGATGTTTGTAAGAGGAAAGAAGTAGCAATCCACACCAAAGCACCTGCCGGGAAGATTGAAGAATACCGGACCACTCGTAATAACTAATGGCCACCTCTATTCTCACCCGGGGTGAGTATAGTGCAGGCGAGTCTTTCGGCTATTCTCACCCGGTGCGCGTTCACCGTTATAGCCTAGATCTAGGCCACAAATTTTGCGTCATAAACCACAGAATTCTACACTGTGATAACAGAAAAATTGTAGAATTCTGTGCCGTGAACAAACGTTCCATTACAACTGTAGCCTACTAAAAGCGTACAATTTTGTCTGTGGGCAGTGGAGAGAGAGAGAGAGAGAAAGAGAGAGAGGAGTAGCCTAGCGCGAGAACTTCCGGGCAAAACAAAATGGCGACCCGCGTAGTTCGGCTCGATTCGAAAAGTTAAATAGCCGTAGCATCTTTGTAGACAACCAAACTAATTTACTATTGTGTTTTAACATCATTTTTTAACTTTGTTTTGGTCAATTTGATCGTCCACATCGATAGACAGTATTCAGAAAGAGACAGAGAGAGAGAGAAGAGGGGAGGAGTAGATCTTGCGAGAACTTCCGGGCGGGTGAGAATAGCCACTTTCATAACTAATATGGCAGTCGTTATTCGGACTCGAGTCCGAATAAAAAAAATTCTTATTCGGACTCGAGTCCGAATATGAAAAAATGTTATTCGGACTCGGGTCCGGAAAAAAGGAAGTGTCTTCGTTCTATAGATCTAACGTTCAGTGCTTCCAATTTTCCGCCATTTTTTTGTTTTCCCCACACCTTATCTGCCGATCCAATGCCCGCCGCCTCATTGATACGCCTCCCCCCCCCTACCACGTTTCCCACTTTCATTGTTGTAGAAAAAGGTAAAATTGAAGATTAGCAGACCACCTGGCATATTATGAGCTGTGTAAAAAAAAAAAAAAGACCGATTCGTTCAAATACACAAGCCTGTGTCATATCGATTGTTTACCAAGAAAAAGTTGTGTTGCTGTGTAGAGCTGAGCATACGGCAACTTTTGATTCCATAGACCAGCGCACAATTCATTACGTATTCATTACGTAGATCTACGTCAAGACTAGCTTATTATTGTAATAATGATAAGTTGCCCGGGGGAAAAAGACCGACGCTTATGCGACGTTCGAAGCCCGGACCGATAGTGCCCCCCACCACCCTCCCCGACACGCACACAGCCACACGTGTGCAGGCCGCCCATCCGACCCCGACACATGCTAACGAGCCATCTTTAATTGCTTCTGATGACCTCTTAAATAAACATTTATTAGAAGCGCTATAACTTTTCAGGCCGGCCTCAAATTCATCATATAAGATTAAAACTCGGCTCCTGCACAAACCGCCTTTTTGCCTGAAGTGATCCCGGTCTCTACCCAGCCTGAGGCGAGTCACGAGTGAGGCAGGACAGGAAGCCGGATTCACGAGTCACAGGAAGTCAGAAGTGATGTCATGCTGGACAAGAATCAGAGTCCGAATAACATTTTTTCATATTCGGACTCGAGTCCGAATAATCACTTCAAACTAATATTGCGCGAGAATGGGGGGGGGGGGGGGGGTCTCCCCCCTGACAAACTATTAATGAATGGATCTAGGCTACCGGTCTGAGATTCTTCATTGTGAGAGATTAAAAACTGGGGAAAATCATGAATTCCTAAGGCCTAAGTAAGGCAAGGAAAGGCAAGGGAAGGCAAGGGAAGGCTAAGGTTGTCGAGACAGGCAAAAGTAGTCCTCCTAATCCGCTGGTCCGGTATTCTTCAATCTTACCCACCTGCCAACCACCCACTATCTAAGGCATATATCGTTCTCATCGCCGGCTCATCGCCATACACGACGAAGACTACAACATCAAAGCAAAAGTAAGTCGCAGTCGTTCCGAGTCTTCCAGTCTCAGCCACTGCTGCCAGAGGCCAGAGAAGTTGATCTCTAGTCTAGATCTACCTGGTTTACAAGAAGACAAAGACCAAACAGCTTGATTTCCCACTTCCCTCAGCTTGCCATCTCGTTCATCTTTAAAGATGTCTACAGTCTGAGTTTCGCTGATTTTTGACGGCATGGTTGGTAATACTATACGTGATGAAGACCGTGGTCTAGCGGCGCTCATGGCAAGCAAAAAGGCCTCGAAAGCACAGCAAATTAAAACGCCATGATGTTTGTTTTGAAGATAAAAGAAACTTTGAAGTTGACAGTGAAGAGCTCCAATAGTAGAAAAACCCAGACTTTAACAATGATACCGAAACGAAAACTTTGTCTTCCATGAGAATTTGAAGTGGAGTTGCAACAAGTTTTGAAGCCTTATATCACATTTGAGGCATTTGAGGAAGTATGGCCACTGACATGTTTAAAGAAAGACAATATATTTTCTTGTTTTATTAGGAAAAATCGAATTACCTCCTATTTGTTATATTACTTTTTCAGTCAAAAAAATATTATCTGTGTGATGTGCGAAATGCAAAGTGCTCGACGATCTTACATTTTAAGGAAAACACGGAAGTAATAAACAAAGAGGTAAACTTAGCAAAAGTTTGTCGTTTCTATCGTTAGGCCTAGCACAATAATGGATAGATTCTAGTTCTTGTTACGGTCAACAAGGGAACTGAATCAGATTTCTTTCACACAGCTACCAGATCTAGTTATTATGTCGGTGTCAACAATAAATGTTGGACATCTTTTAACATTGGGTTACTAAGAACTTGTCTACGAAACGGGTAAGATTTTTCATCCAAACCAAGTAGTCTACTCATGTACTTTTATAGATCTAGATATATAGATCTAGACTAGATTCTAGATCTAGTTTTGAATAGGCGTCTTAGTCTTAGGCCTAAGTATTGATTATATATATAAATTCAATTCCTATAGTTATGAAGTTAGAGAGTCAACAAATGTTGAAACATTGTTTTCCTTTCTGTCTTCTTCTAGTTAGTTAGGGTTTTTTTAGCTTTTATATCACTAGGCTTAAAATCTGTAGGCCTAGAGATCTATAACTTCACAAATTTATGTTGCTTCTTCTCCTCTTGTGTCTTTTTATAGGCCATGTAGCCTATTTAATTAAATGTTTTATTATGATGTTTAGATAGTACTGCCAAAATGTCTTGATCATGATTATGGATTTTTTGCCTAATGTGTGAGTGTGGGCATAAAACTTCTAGATCTACAACAGTTTAGCATTACATCTTGTTTTAGTCTATCTCTCTATCTATATATAGATCTATATATATATGAATCATAAATTTTGTTAATTATTGTAGTTATATATTGTTGTTGTCTGGATCAATTTTCGAAAGCAAAAAGAGATTTCAAAGAAAAACATTTTGATGTAACCCTCATAACTTTAAAAGAAAATGTGTGTCTTGTAAGACAAATTAAAGTTTGTTTCAGGGACTAGAGTTGTAAGTCTAGTGCATTTAGGCTGACTGCTAATCTCTACGCTTTCAAAAACTTGTTTTGTAACATATTATTGGATTAGAAGCTTGAGTTTGAAATCCAATATTCATTGATGTTCTGATGGGACCTCGCTAACTTGAATTTTAGGAGAAAAAAAATGTTCAACCAAAAGATTTCTGATACCTTGATATATATACATTTAAGTGCGAGATACACTTTAGAACCTGCCATGAAGGTCACCTGTACAAATGACCACATTCCATTTCCCGCCTCGTCTTTTTTCTATTTAATTTAACTTTGTAAAACGGTCAGATGTCCAACGTAGCTGCGGCCACCTTATTTTATTAACCAGGGGCGGCTGGTGGTTTGTAGAACTGATCGGCTGTATAATTCCCATCGATACTTCCCCACATCAGAACCCCTACGACACACAGACAGACAGACAGACAGACGTTCAATTGTACACCTAATGGTATACTTCAGGTTTTTTGTGCGTGTGGGGAGGGGGGGGGGTGGTAGGTTGGTGAGAGAGGGGGGGGGGGGGGGGTAATATATAAAAAGTGTTTAGTTGAAGAAAATCCATGGAGTTACAAACTTCAAAATGTAAATCTGAGCTTCAAGTCAAGACATTGATTGAAGCCACTGAAATATGGATAGAAATTGACTTGATCGGCACGAAACAAGAAATACTTTTACGGTATATTAGAAAACAAACTGAAAGTGAGAAGCAACCACCTCTTAGTCCTGACCCTGTACATCACCCAAAGACCTACTTTTCACACACACGCACACAAAGTCACGACGTGTACTCGCTGTGTAAAAATAGAAAACATGTCTGCTGACAATTGAAACCTTACCAATGACGCTGTCCCATGTAGATGAAGTCTAGAACCAGATACTGCTCACTGTAGCCTACTAAACCCACAGCCACATAGATCTACACATTGAACAAATTTAGCCCACGACAATTTCCGATCCGATTCAAAAGTTTTTCTCTTACTATGCTCTTCTTTGCTCTCAGAACACTGCTCTTTAGAGAACTGTATCAAATGCTAATTATAGAAATTTGAGTCTAGATGGGGTGAAGGTAGAAAAGAGGAAAGGGAAAAGGGGTGGGGGAGGAGGAGGTTGTATTTGTTATAGGCCCAGACCGTGACAGCCGAACGGGGCGCTTCCTTCTCCCTCCTCATTAAAATTCCGTCTATAACTTAAACATTACTGGGTGGAACGAAGGATCGCCGGCCCAGGGTCCTGGCCAAGTAAGGTAACTCCAGGAAATATGTGACGAAGAGAACACAAAACAGAACAATGGATGGCTTAAAACTCAATAGAAATAGTTATGTGAACAATAGAAGTACGAGCAGTAATAAGAGACAGGTTGAATGATGAATGTAACTGATGAAATTACGTAAAATAATATGTAATTAGTATTGTGTCCTTCCTTTGTAAGTAACAGAGAGGCCAATTGGCAATTAGAAGCCGTCTTTATAGCTCTCTGGGCAAAAGCTGAATTCGCCCGGAGGCTGACGTCACCGCCATCGGGCGCTGTTCGGAAAGACCTCGCGCAGAGAAGTTTCACATTGTGACAGACTCGATTAATATACGAGCCAGCATGATAAACAAAGATGACGGAACGAGTCTCTGTAGTGCGACAACACACTAAAGACCACTACTGTCTCTTAGAACGCCTTCAAATCGGCCGAGTGCTTTTTGACTGTTGATAAGATATTAATGTGCATTTACTTGAAACAAAATAAAAATTGACGTCAGCAATCATTCTCTTGTCAACTGTACAGCCAACAAAAACTGACCGGCGCCGCCGGTCTTGCCCAGGGAAAGAACCGCGTCTGTTATTAACCCACGGTCAAATTTATCTCTGCCTCAGATGGCCAGGTGTGGTCACTCATTGTTGTCTTACTTACTTTACTTTATCCGTCCTCTTGTACCTCTAGGGCTTTGTCATAAATTTTTAATCTGCCTCTCACGCTGTGGATTGGCCATTATAATTCATTCTCCTGTCGTTATTGTTAGTCCCTCCAATTAATGTTTAACCAAGTTGACCAAAGGGTAGGCCTAACAATAAATTTTCTACTGCTGGTGAGGGAAGCGTGAGCCGTCATAACCTATAAAAGCCCTCCCCACAACTATGCACAAATTGTGTGTGAGGTGACTGGTCATATTTTTGTTTACCTAATCTGTCACAAAATAACACTTGACGTTGACGTGAATTTGTGATGGAAGTGTTGCTCATTCTCTGTGTGGTGGCGACGCCGTGTGTCTGTTTTACAATGGCACTCGGTCTTCTTAGTCTTAACCTAATATTTCATGTATTTTATGCGTGCACGAAATTAGCAACAAAAAGAAAGCTCACCAAAAAACAAACCAACAAAACAACACCTCAAAAAACCTTCTCACACCACCCTCTTCCCTTTTTCAAAAGAAAACAAAAACCCTTTTGAATTAGCCTTACAACAGTCTAAAGCCTGAGATCAGCCCCTGTTTGGACGTCAGAAGAGATGATTTGCTTTTTTCGTTTTGATCAGTCCTGCGTTAGACGGCCACCTGTGTTATATGGCTACTTTTCACCTTGACAATGGGTGGCCATTTTACACAGGTTTGACTGTATATTATATTAAAATTAAAGAGAGATTTAAAACTACATATGGTCAAAATCGCACTACAGGTACTTTAAATTCTGCCAGAATTTTGCTATCCACCACAGTGACACGTTCTATCCTTTGATCCTCACTAAAACAATAGGGAGGTTTATAAGAGCACACTGGTCAAGCACCCTTGGTCAGTGAACATCTCCATTTTCCTCCACATGGTCACTCACTTTATTGATATGATTCGATGTATTGAGGGGCAAGGTAACTTTCATCCATGGAAAATATAGCTCACTAGCTATTCATAGGATTATAATAAAATGACCCGGAGCATGCAAAACTCTGCTTTTGAAGCCAAGCGAAAGATAGCAAGATTAGTGGAGCAGTCGAAAGCCACTCGTGTTGCTCTGTTCTAACCACAACCAGTAGCTACAATGACCATCAGTTTTACTTCATAATCACAGTGTATCGGTGTTAAAAAGTAAATAATGTATTTTTCTGTTTTTAAAAAAGTGTTTGAAAACCGAGATGGACATTCAGCATAACATTAAGCAATTTAAAAAGAATTTTATGGTGATTTATCATGACTTTTGTATCTCTGTATGTAATTATGATAATTACCCTACTTATTAAGTCTTATATAGTTTTTGTAGGTCATGACAAATGGCCAGCACTTGTAAGTAACCAACATGTGATATTCCTGAGTGTTGCAGAAACATCTGCCAATGGAAAGATGTCAGTTGTATGGAAACTTGTGCCTTTTAAAGCATTATTTTTCTTAGACTGATTTTTACTTTTAAGCTGAAAGTTTAAATGTCATATTTATAGCATCTGTATGTCCTTCGTATTGTTAAGTTCCTTTTGCCACTTTGACTGAAGTGCTATGTTCTCATGAAGAAAAAAGTTGAGCAAAGCTGAGAATCCAAAGATTTTTTTAACAAAATTTGTATTGTTTTTCAGACTCAGGCTGGTCTGAAGGCCTGCCAAGGAAAGCATAATGGATGAGCAGGAAGATGATAACGTGTACAGTGTCCCCCCAGTCCGGTCAAGAGATGACGTTGTACCACCATTGCAAATAGTACCTCAGGAGGAATGTGAAAGGAGCCCTCCCCCTGTACTATTACCAAAACGGGGCAATAATTCTGTCCGAGTAAAGTCGATCGTCTTAGACCCTCAGACTACCGGCTTAATGCCACGCCCTGCGCCGCGGATGTCCAGTAGAAAGGCCAGTGTTGATTCATCTCTGTCTGACTCCACGGAAGGTGGTGCTACCCCAGAATTGAAGTCAACTTCTAATACTTTTTTCTCTAAGAGTCTGGACGTTGCTGCGTCTCCCCTTGATGATGTATTCAGTAGTCCAACTCTGGGAGCTGAAGCAAAGTTTGCTACACCAGTTCCCCAACAAAGACGGAGTAGCAGAGGAAGTTTGGTCAAAGATTCCCCAGCAGAAGTTGTGTCTGCGGCCAGTGTGTCCACATCTAGCGCTCCCTCAGCAGGCCCCATGTCTCCTCCGTCTGCATCGGTGAAGTCGCCACCCATCGCTGCTCCAAGGCCAGTGCCCCGTCCAAGAACCAAAGTGTCATCGTCTAATTTACACAAAAATGTTTTGGAGACTATAAGTTCAGATAATCTTAGTTCATCTTTACCAGACAGCGTCGGTGGTGTCGGCAAAAGTGCCAGTGACAATACTCTGCAGTCCAGTCAGTCCTTCAACAACCATCCGCAGCCCAGGACAATCAGACAAAACTCCAATAAGTCTTGGGACACGAGGTACTCTCTCCCACCAGATCCAGATAGTATTGAGTCTATGTTGGACGAGGAAATACAGAAAAAGTACGGAGCACTGACAAACATGGAGCCTCTTGCAAATCAAGAAGCGGAAAATGGCAGTGATAATGAAGAGGGAGATGTGTATATAAGTGCTGATACAGTGCTCAATTTAGCTCCAGCAAATTCGAGACCACGTCCACCAAAACCACATGGTGCTCCACCACCCCCACCAAAACCACATGGCATTTCTTCAGAGGCTCCTTCTTATTTGCCCATGGTAAGTAAACACCGTCCAGCAGGTGAAAAGCCGGCAGTAGCTCCCCAGCCACCACAGAGGGCCCAAGAAAGCCTGAATGAGCTTAATCTCTTTCAGAACTCAGATTCAAAGTTCAATATTGGTTCAGACCTTTTATCAGAATCAAGCACCGATGAAATTAATAATGGTCAAGATGATGGCAGCCTGTTTCAGAATCCTTCCACCCCAAGACCATTTGATCCTCAGCCCTTCAAGACAGCCCTGTCTAACATACTGCCCAGTCAGGCTAGTGATGAAAGTGAAGATGCTGTTAAGTCTGTTGCTCAGGCTTTTGATTTTCGCGATATTGATCCACTATGGGAGGATAAAACGAAAGATGAAAAGGCTGTGATTAACACTTCAAAAACAGCAGTTGAAGAGCTAGGCTCAATGAGCAATGAGTTCCCTGTTGATTGGGATCAAGCCTTCAAGAACCCAGCTGAGACAGATGAAACTATCATTGACACCCAAAATACATACGCTGAGCCCGATGACCTTAGCTACCCTTACTCGAAACCCCACCGCAAGTCACCTCCCACACCTCCAAAGAAGCCACTGCCCAGCTCTGAGTCATTTCACTACGAACCTCCCATGGCCCCCCCTCCACCTTTTCCCAGAGAGCAGAACCGCATCCCTGAACCGAGACCCCCACCGGTCCCTCCCCGGCCCACTGCAGCTGCTACTGCCGCAGGCACAAGTTCTCATGGCTCACCCGCTAACCTCCCTCTGGAGATTCCCACACACTCAGAATCCGTGAGCTCCAACATCTTCAATGAACTCCCCACACCGGTCTTTTCTGGGGACCCCCTCATGGACCCTTTCCAGGACTCGGGCTTCGGGGACGTCTGTCGCAACTTCAACCAGACGCAGCAGGAAACCACGCAGTCCAACCCCAAGCCCATTCCACCAATACCAATACTCCCCGCGTCATCGTCCCCAGTACCAAAACTCCCAGTGTCGTCGTCCCCAGCAGCTGAGCCATGCCGAGATACGACGTATGAGTTCGCAGCGGCCCTGCCAACAGAGGAGTTTGGCCCAGAGAGGATCAGCCGCTTTGTCATCCCACCACCCGGTGCTGAGGCCCAAGGTGAGATTCAACTTGTTTTGAATGCAGGGTTTGTACGGGTCTTGGAAAACTGGAAACCTCTTGAAATTTTGTTTTTATTTTCCAAGACATGGAAACTCTTGGAATTTTGGAAAATTGGCAAAATTCTTGGAAGTCTTGGAAAACACGTTTTTAACTAGATCTATTGTAAAAATACTTCCTTGAAGTTTAGAAGGCCTCGACTTTACGCATTCTGAAGTGTACAATAATGTATTTTTGCATGCTGAAAGAAAATTTTCTTCACAAATGACAGGTTATTTGTCTTGGAAAAAAGAAATTTCATCTTGAAAAGTCTTGGGAAAAAAAATTGGTCTTGAAAACTCTTGAAAATGTTTTGGGCGGAAAAAAAACCTCTCCTGCTCAGTATGAACCCTGTTAATGTCTTGTGTTTTTACACCCGCGTCGCGACACAGTGTAGATCATGTAGGAGGCGGGCTTCTGACCCTGCATGTCAGGTCAACCTGGTCGGGGAAGGATATATATATCATCCCAGCAGAAAAAAGCGAGATACTCCACTCAAAAAATCTCCCCAGTCCGGAATCAAACTCTGGTCTCCTATATGTGCGATAGTGAAGCGTCTGACGGCAACACCACGTACGCTGTAAGGTTCATGTTGGCCTCAGCATTTATTCACAAAGTAATAAATATTGACATTTAGTTTGGACTTGCCTCTGACATCCTTTGCCATCTCAAAAACGGTTGCTCTGGGCTCAATACATGTATTTCCCCTTCCTATTGGTCTCAGTGAGAGACCACTGTAAGTTCATAGACCGCAGTGCAAGCTTCTCTTCCCACAGTTTACGTGGTCACTTTTGATACCAGAGAGCTAGATCTCTTTTCTCTCATGTAGCAACACATCACTTTCTTTCAAAGGTACATTAGTATTCAACTTAATTAGCATATTGAACCCCCCCCCCCCCCCCTGCCCATTTTCCTCTTTTTGTTCTGGTGAAGGTAGTATGACCCTAACACTGGCATGGGTTTAATTTAACTGCTTTATATAAATTTATATATATGGCATTTATAATACTTTGTGATACCTTATGACACCTTTGCTTCTGGTTCAGCGAATTGTTACTCTGCTATTATATTGTTGTGCGCACATGAAGGTGCACATCTCACAAGCTTTTGCTAAAACTGCTTTACATAATGCTTTGCCTTAATATAATATATATATGAAAATTATATATAAATATATATATGTAAATGACAGTCATATAGGTATAATATTGAATGTGGTTTTGTCAGTGTACACTGGTTTGATGGTTTGACATTTTCAAGAAGAAGCTTGGATTGCAGGAAATCAGTTCTTCTGAAATACCCCCTTGAATATTTTACAGAATTTGCTTCCTTTCTTGTATTTATGAATGGAAGTAAGTACACCTCATGGTAAGTTGTTGGTGGTGGTGGTGTTCTTGTTCTTGTTCTTGTTCTTGTTCTGTTCTTTCAAAACTACATTTTTGACAATATGTATATATATATATATATATATATATATATATATATATATATATATATATATATATATATATATATATATAAATATATATATATATATATATTAACAGTTTGTTGCTGTTTTGGGTTCCTGGTTCCTTGTCATCCTGTATGTCTTGTCTTTTCTATCCGCGCGCAGATGACTGTATGGTCTCTACTTCTTTTGTCTGGTTCTTGCAGTTGTTTCACCGGTTTGGTGCAAGGCTTGACCCCTCTTGACCCTGGCTTATCGTTCAGTATTGTTTCATCATGGTGTACCGCAATGTTGCTGGTGTGCTTACTCCTTGTCACTCTCGCCATTAAGAAGGTTCTGTTTTTTGTTTTGTTTTGGGTTGTTGGTTTTTTGTTGGGGGGTTGTTTTGTTTTGTCTGTTTGTTTTTTATGGGGGGGAGGGGGGTGGTTGGAGCTGTGCTCGCTCAGTATCATACTGGACTATGGAGCAGTTGGATGTGGTTCGAATCCCATACTGTAGACTGGTCGTTCTTAAACTCAGGTCGTTTGTCGTGTTTTCAAAGCTCTAAACCCATTTGGCCCGGTCCTATCGGAGACTTATATTAAATTTGGAGGTATCGGCCCTTTTGTATTTCTTATAGTGTTGATAGGGGCGATAAAGCCATACACTTACATACTTTACTAGGTGTTGGGTTTTTTTCAAAACTTGGTGAGACGGATAGTTTGCCGTGACTAATGTCCTGTCTTCTTATTTTCCTCAACGTCATTGCTGTCCTGGTCAGTCTTTTGGCGCTCAGATTTCCTGCCAGGCGGCTGCTATGGCTACCAACTGGCCTTTACTTGAAGGTTTGAGGTTCGAATCCTGAGAGTCCGGTCTGAATTTTTTTGTTTTTTTGTTGACCTACTAATATTATATTATTAGGGGTTCAGCTGTATTAGTTGGGGGGGGGGAGGGAGAGGGGGCTACTTTGACTTCAAAATGATGTTAATGGACGTGTGTGTATACTGTATACCGTTAAATTTCGCTGGCTGAAAGCGTCCACTTGTGACGACAACTTATTGCCGGGTGTTATCAGTAGATTCGATCAACGTGTGCAAACATCCTCGCACTAACTGACCGTGGAGGCCTGCTACAATGTCGTTTGTTTCTCTGTGTGGAATACATTTTTTTAAGTCCTAGAAATGCCGGTGGCGACGTCTCTGTTATCAAACTTCTGGTTATTAAGAGACGAAACATTGCGTTTTTGTCAGCACTTTTGTCGACATGTACAAAAATGCCTGTCAATTTTGGAGGACGCTTTTTCCACCGAATGGATCCTCTTGTAAGATCCTCTTGTAGTACCATGTCTCTGCTCTAACTGTCGCCAAAGAAGGCGTCTATTTCGCTTTCCTCCATTTCACGAGGTGGTGGTAGTAGAGAAAGTCACCTTTGGTTGTTCTGTTTGATGTCTGAGCTTTTTACTTCCACCTCACGCCGGTGGCGTCTGTCGCCTGGAGGTTAAGGCACCGGACACGTAATCGTGAAATTGCGGGTTCGGGGGTTCGAGCCTGAGCTCGGTCCGACGTCGTGTCCTTGGGAGAGGCACTTTACACGAATTTCCCATTTGGCTCGGTCTTTTCAGAGATGGACGTTAAACTCGGGGGTCCAGAAAAATGTCGTTAAAACATATGCCAAAAATTTTCCACTAGTAGGGAATCTTTGCCTATACCATTTCATCATCATATTGTTTTTACCTTACTTCTGCTATCCCAGAACAGACTTAACTTGTGCGTGACGCCTCACATCTTTCTGTTCTGTTGCTCTGTCGCCCGGAGACTTCTCTTTGGCTAGAAGGATTTACCTCTTCCTTCTTCTTGAACGAACGAACATTTTGCTCTCTCGGATAGACGATCACATGTTCAATTTTGAGGAATCCCCTCCTCTGCGACTCACCAATCTCCCGATGTTGTTGTTGTTGTTGTTATCGATCTAGCAACAGCTGGGCTCTCGCCCTTCTGTCCAATGCCATGTAGTGTGCAGGTTTGCTGCAGTTGCTGTAATGTTCCGTAGAGTATGTTGTCAATACTAGTACTAGGTCTCGGAGGGAGAAGTGTAGCTCTGATGTCATTTAGAACTGTACCGTGGAAAAGGTGATGATCCACAGTATCGCATAGTCACACAAAAGACACATTGGGAGAAGTTGTGGTTTTAAACAATCTCCCGAAATCAAGCTTTGATGAACCCATGGGCGAGCTGATAGAATTTTCTTTGAGAAAGATTCAAACTGATATACCTCAGTCAAAATTTGGGAGCCATATCACCATCACTAACAGGACAATGTTATGATCATATGATGTTTTCCATTTCAGCCTTTCGCGTTGCTGGCAAAGGTGAGCTGCTGCACTAAAATATCTTTTTGAAGAACGCTGCCTTAAAATGCTCAAATTTGTCGTATTCTGTGCTGGAAGACGGTTTTTTGTTTGTTTTGTAAGTCCCATTACCCATGGTTGTGACCCAGAAGAAGGTTGGTATGGCGCCTCAGAGGACAATAAGAAAAGGAAAAAAGTGCCAAAGAAATGTTTGATACATAGATCTATGTAATGAGATGTGTCAATATATGTCTGTTCTTGAGAACGCCGGGCGTAAAGTCTCTTGTGTTCGTGATCTCAGGGGGGAAAAAACGCACGCGGGGAGGGGGGGGGGGGGAGGGGGGGGGGGATAAATGATGCGTCAAGCCGATGTGAGGTAGACAACTACTAGTCACAGAACAATATTTTTTAAAACTCGTACTGCCACTGAGCAGTGTAGGAAAGGAATTTTAATGGGTACTTTAAAAAAAAAAAACTATTCCCCTAAAACAAATCCAGTCAAAATTTGGGCCCAAAAGGTGATCCTTCCTTGTATCTGTTCGACAACTGTGGTGAATGTGATTACCGGGAGGGGGGGTGGAGGGGGATTTGCTGTTATGAGGCAAAATATTACGTTAAAGGGACTTTGCGTCTTCAACAATGATTAAAAACAGGTACGTGTGTGTGTTTGTGTGTGTGTGTGTGTGTTCTCCGTGTGTATCTGTGCGGGGGGATTAACGTGGTATCGTCGACTGTGTGATAAATAGATGATCCAGACAACAAAATATCACCGTAGAAGAATACTCTGAATAAATATCACGCGAGGAGGCAGCGTTCTTTTTTTCCTTTTTCTTTTTATCTCTCTCCAATTACGTCCCCCCCTTTTTTTTGTTACTCTTTATTTCTCCCTTTGTAAATTTGTGTTTTTCGATAGCTGTTTATTTATTTTTTTTCTGTTCTTAAAGTGTCGTCTGTTTGTTGTTCTTTAGTTTGTTCTTGAAGAGCCTCACCACCTGAAACCACTTCTTGTTTCCCTTTCTGCTGATTTCCTGCTCCTGTTGTATAATATATTGTTTCACATTTAGCATGCTCTTTTTAAAGACAGTTTCATCCTCTTTTCACATTTATGACCATCCTCTTTTCACGTTTAGGAATGATTGTTATATTTTGCATCTTTTTTTAATGTTTCACACGCATGCGTTACGCATCCCCACCACGTGGCTTATTGTACCAATACCTCCCTCATGTTTATGCACACACCCAGTGTTTGATACACCCTTCCTTCCTCCCATAGTTGTTGTAGCTTGCCCAATTGGTTATAATTAATAATGCCACACTTCTGAAATTATTACATGTACTTGTACCGAGAGAGAGAAAGAGAGAGAGAGAGAGAGAGAGAGAGAGAGAGAGAGAGAAAGAGAGAGGG